CCCTTCCCTTATGCTCATCTGTTTTGTCTCTTAAAGTCCTCATAGGAGTGACGTCATATGATTTGTGTCTTTCTCTGACTAATTTCACTTAGCATAATACCCTCCATCCATGTAGTTGCAAATGGCAAGATTTCATTCTTTTTGATTGCCGAGTAATACTCCATTGCATATATATACCGCATCTTCTTTATCTGTTCATCCACCCATGGACATTTGGGCTCTTTCCATACTTTGGCTATTGTCGATAGTGCTGCAACAACCATTGGCATGCGTCCCTTTGAAACAGCACACCTGTATGTATCCCTTGGATAAATGCCTGGTAGTGCAATTGCTGGGTCGTAGGATAGTTCTATTTTTAGTTTTTTGAGGAACCTCCACACTGTTTTCCAGAGTGGCTGCACCAGTTTGCCTTCCCACCAACAATGCAAAAGAGATCCTCTTTCTCCACATCCTCGCCAACATCTGTTGTTGCCTGAGTTGTTAATGTTAGCCATTGTGACAGGTGCGAGGTGGTATCTCATTGTGGTTTTGACTTGTCTTTCCCTGATGATGAGTGATGTGGAGCATTTTTTCATGTGTCGGTTGGCCATCTGGATGTCTTCCTTGGAGAAGTGTCTATTCATGTCTTTTGCCCATTTCTTCACTGGATTATTTGTTTTTTGGGTGTTGAGTTTGATGAGTTCTTTATCTGACATGCCATTTGCAAATATCTTCTCCCATTCCGTCAGTTGCCTTTTAGTTTTGCTGACTGTTTCCTTCGCTGTGCAGAAGCTTTTTATTTTGATGAGGTCCCAATAGTTCATTTTTGCTTTGGTTTCCCTTGCCTCCAGAGACGTGTTGAGTAAGAAGTTGCTGCGGCCAAGGTCAAAGAGGGTTTTGCCTGCTTTCTTCTCGACGATTTTGATGGCTTCCTGTCTTACATTTAGGTCTTTCATCCATTTGAGTTTATCTTTGTGTCTGGTGTAAGAATGTGGCCCAAGTTCATTCTTCTGCATGTCGCCGTCCAGTTTTCCCAGCACCACTTGCTGAAGAGACTGTCTTTATTCCATTGGATATTCTTTCCTGCTTTGTCAAAGATTAGTTGGCCATACATTTGTGGGTCCATTTCTGGGTTCTCTATTCTGTTCCATTGATCTGAGTGTCTGTTTTTGTGCCGGTGCCATACTGTCTTCATGATGACAGCTTTGTAATACAGTTTGAAGTCCGACATGTGTTCATTTTAAAGCGTCAGGACTGTTTCTGTGAGCAACAAACCATTAGGTTTAGTTTATTTATTTATTTTGAGAGAGAAAAAGAGAGTGCATGCAAGTGGTCGAGGGGCAGAGAGAGAGAATCCCAAGCAGGCTCTGTGCTGATGGCACGGAGCCTGATGCGGGGCTTGGTCCCATGGACCACGAGATCAGGACCTGAGCTGAAATCAAGAGTCAGATGCCTAACTGACCGAGCCACCCAGGGGCCCTCTCTCTGGCTTCTTGCAGTGAGTGTGGCTCAGGGAATTTGAGGAGCGTCCTTGAAGCCTTGCTCAAGATTTCAGGTCCGGAGAGGGAGCAAGGTGACTGAGCCTGGCCCGTGAGCCTGAGAGCTGGTTGCCAGGGTGGGAGAGCAGCAAAGACTCTTCTGGTGGCTGTAAAGAGAGGCCAGGTCCCCCCAGCGGCACTCACTTTGGCAGGCACTCTTGTCCCATATTAAGTCACCATCACCCCCCCACACACACTTCTCCGTCACAAGAACCCCAGTTTGATTGGGTGTAACCATGTAGCCAGCCAGGAATATTGGGCTCCCCTGCAGTGAAGGGGAAATCTACTCTCTGGGGTTTTCAGGAAATCCAGTGGCTCCCTCCTAAAAAGGGACAGCTCAGATGCACATGCTTTGTGACCACCCCTGCCCTGCCTACTGCCTAGAAGGAGGATATGGGTGCCCAGAGCGACCTCGGGCATCTTTTGGGCATGTGACTAAAAGC